TTTCTCTCTTTCTCTCTTTCCCCGTCTTTCTCTTTCCCCCCTCTCTCCCCCCTTTTTTCTTTCTCTCCCCTCCCCCTTCTGTCTGTCTGTCTCTCTCTCTCTCTCTCTCTCTCTCTTTCCCCGTCTTTCTGTCTCCTCTCTCTCTTCTCTCTATCTCTCGTTTACACACTCCCCTCCTTTCATGTCAATGCAGACTGCAAAATGACCTCATTAGTGTTATGCGTCCTTAAATGCACCAGATAATGCGACTCGCCCTGTTAGACCCCAGCGTTAACAGAATCAGTTGTAGATAAAAGGAAGCTTTCCCTTCATTCGGAACTTGTTTGATCTAGTACGCACATCCGGGTTCTCAATTGTCCATGGGGTCATCGTGGATCACCATCTTCAGGTTTAAAAAAACAACAGATTAATGAATGCTCTAAAACCTTAATAATAATAATCTTTTATCTCGTCTCGGATGGATCGCTTCTTTTGATTATGGACACACTTTTTTGCAACTTCTTTTAACGTTATTGATGTGTACAGGGTTACTCGCCTGCTTACCCTGTCGCCTTCCAACTTGAAGGGACTCTCATTACGGGCTTGTCTGTTTTATTTATCACGTGTTTTGTTTATCTCTGTGACGATCCACAGCTGTTTGGTTTTATCTGCTCATTCTTCTTCTCTTTGTTGTGTGTTTGTTTTTCATCGGGAATGAGATCGTTATCTCGCTAACTGGCCGTAAACTGCATGATGCAACTCGAGGCCTGTGCTATGAACCACTTATTAGGTTCTCATTCAGGGCCTATCGGTCTTTGCACTCTCCTGTTTCTCGGTCACCTCTCAGTCTCATAATTAAGTAAATCGTTTCGAAAGTAAGATGTCCCGCCCTCCCTGCCCCATAATTGTCTAAGGTTTACCCCGGCTTTTTTGTTGTTTGTTTTTTTGGCGAAAAATAGTGAAGGGTCGTCGAAAAGAAACCTCTATAACTAAAATATAATCACACCACCCAGCTGTGTTTGCTTCTCCAGTATACATTACGTTTGTGGAGGTAACCAAGACAGGTTTGGCGGCAAGTGCGAATCCTAGAATAATGCCAGTTTAACGTTGTGCTATGTTATCAACAGTGACCCTGACCGGGGGGGGGGAACCTCGAGCGTCCTGTGAGGGGCACTTGCTTCCTTTGTGTCGTTCTATTTTCCTCTTTTCTTGTTTTGTCACTCACTCATCCGGCAAGGTTTGTCGACGTCACACAATCATACGAGCACAGAACTTGGAGAGAGAGAGAGAGAGAGAGAGAGAGAGAGAGAGAGAGAGAAAGAGAGAGAGAAAGAGAGAGAGAGAGACAGGCAGTTAGATACTGGCATACTGACAAATAACAGCGAGGCAGTGAAGAATAAACAAACGAACATACCATGCATACCTATATTATTGTGACAAGGTACATATTGTGTTTCTTTCCTCTGCATCACCATTGTTTCCTCGAGTGAGGAGTGTTCCAAGACAGCGTGTGAGTTTGACAGTTGAACGTGATCGTTGTGTCTCGTCGACACGAGCCCCCTTTTTTACGGCGGGCACCCAAGAGACACATTGCGTTTTTCCCTGGCCACGAGTTGGTAGGAAGACTGAGTCATTTTGACTGGTTAGGGGCTTCTCTGTGTGTACGTGGACACGCTGTAAACATGGTTGTAGCGATTATGAGAGTCATAGAAGTGGTTGTATATCGTGTTCTTTAATGGGCTAAGTGTCAGTGTGGATGAAGATATAGAGAAGAAGAAAAGGAAGAAGCTGAAGAAGAGAAGGAAGAAGAAGATGAAGAAAAAAAAAACGAAGGAGGAGGAGGATTTAGAGTAAAAACGGAGGGGGAGGAGGTGGAGGGGATAAAGAAGGATGGGATGAAAAAAAGGATAGGATTGTTAGAGTAGGTGGAAGGACGAGAAAGTGTGCGCACTTGTGTGTATGTAGTATACGTGTAGGTAGGTTTACTCCATATTATATATGGTGCTTTCATGCGAATAGAAATTTACGTTATGCTGTTGTCACAAGAGCGTTATTCAATGTATCACTCTATTTTCTTGGCCCCTGGTGGGTGGTTGGCGGACTATCTGGTGTGGTTTGTTCCTTTTCCCCCACCAACCATCTGTCATCCTTATCTCGCTTTTGTCTTTTTATGTTTCTCTTTTGTGACACTTGATCTAATTACGGCTATTTGTGTGGCAAGTGCCATGCGTAAACCTCTTACTTAAACTAAATCCAGTCACACTTACGATCATTATAACGAATAATTTCTGACGAGTTCGGCCCCGGCCTGGCAAACAGTTAGTTCTTGTTCTACCCGTCGGCAACAGTAACGTTACCCCTTTATCGAGCCAACTGTCAACCCCACTAAGCCTTCCGTGCGTGACCATAATATACACAAGTAGGCCTCTGAGTAATGGCAGGGCTCTTGTAGGGGTGCCTGCTGTGAAGGTTACATGCAGCGGTTTGATGTTTTTACTAATGAAAGAAAAAAAAAAGGTTTCTGTCTGTGCGTTG